AGATATTATATTTAAATACATATAATTAAGTAAAGCGTAAATTAATACACTTAACACAACATTAACACATAATTAATATCTACATTTTTAATTTGTAAATTTCATTTCAATATTTAATGCATAATACATTTAATTTATATATTTACACATAATTAACACAAAATTAATTAATAACATAGTTATATATAAAACTAATCTAATTATACACGTATAAACCACAACATATAATCATGTACAAAAGTATTCATACACATAAAACATACAACGTAATTATGAATAATTATCCACACAAAATTAAACATAATTAATTTTTTTTAATTTATTAACACAAATCTAATTTACATATACAAAATTAAAACATACATTTATTAACAATTTCTTTTTAATTTTAAATTTATCAAATAAAAAAAATTACAAAAAAACAAAAAAAAAATTTATAAAAATTTGGTTATTTTGAATTTTAAGTAACTCAAATCTAATTATAAAAAAAAAACCCAAAAAAAAACAAAATATAAAAATTCAAAAGTGGTCGGACCACCACCGTGGCACCGGCGCCTGGCCGGGACGCCGCCACCATGGTGGTGGCGCCTAGCCGGGACGCCAGTACCATGGTGGTGGCGCCTGGCCTGGAAGCCTCAACCATGGTACAGGCGTCCTGTAACACCCCAATAATTCTCTCTAAAAGAAAACCTGCAAAAACCTGTAAAACCTGTATAACCTGTAAAATCTGTAAGAGAATTATTGGAGTGCTACCGCCACGTGTTCAAACGTTAAGGCTAGTTTCAGAAATCAGCAGCGGAAAACTAACTTAGTTTTTTTTTTTAAAAGAAAAGGATATAAGTTTTGAAACTAAAAACCAAAACCAGGCTTTAGACTTACAAGTTGGAACCATAAAGGCCCTTATTCAAAATCCATATAAAATAGGAAGTAAGTAAAATTATAGTCAAAATAAACTCAGTCTATGAAGTGAAATAAGCTAAGTAATTAACCAGCGCTCCACTCAAATCCCATCACCCTGATGCAAGACAGTTTATGCAAAAACCTGTGATGAATCTGCTCCCCAATATTACAAGTGTAATAATTGGATCATTACAGGGTCATTGAAGGCGAAGGCCATGACCAAAGAAAACACACAAAAGCACGCAATCAACAACGCTGAGTACATACAAGTTACGAAATATAGTAAAGAGTTCTAACATGATACTAACAAGCATTCCATGCACTCACAATATTATCATTGACTCGAACACATGACTCCATAGTTACTCATTACTAAGTTTTTATTTAAGTAGCATTGATCACTTCATTAATTGATCGGATTAAGCAATAGACCAGGTTGTCCCCCTGTGCTCCATTCCGGAACATTAAATAAGAAAACCCTATGCCTCCTTTCGGAAGACATTAATAAACATCCAATGGCAGACGGGCGCGACTCCGTGGCCATAGCTAGTATGAGATCTCATCTAACTCATTATAATTTTAAAAGATTTTAAAACAAGAGACTCGTAGATCAGACGACCTCTGAAAAGTGCACGGCTAATACCCCGTGAACCCCAACCCATGTTTGTCATTACTCTAGATGTGCACAAATCCAGAGTTTTATTGCTCATCCTTCTTGCATTTTACGTGATTTACCAGTTTAAAATTTGGTGATGACTCATATGCAAACAACACAACAAATCATACATCAATCATTTGAATCATTCAAGTTTCCAATTTAATTCTTAATTCATTAGTGACAAACAACATGTATTATTGCATCCTTTAACTACCTCGGTGTACAAACACCTTAAGTGCATAAGGCACCTCAAATCTACAATCCTGTCTTATCAGACTTTAACTCTTTCTTTACTGATTCCAATTCAATACAATTGAATAAGTAGTTAAAACGATTCATTCCATATATATATATACTTGTAGCTTTGCGTCTAAGCTCTCTTGCAAAATATTGCATAAATAATGCTCAATAGGAAACATCAATGCAATTTCTCATACATGAATTAAAGCAATCATCACATTTATCAACAATCAACTTATTACCAAACAATTTCAACCAATCCGCAAGTCTCCTAACATGATTCTAGGTCTTTTCCAAGTCCTTAAACATGCTTCTAAAGTCAAGGTTCTTCGTATACTTGTACGTACCTTGAGTACACAAATTGATTGGCCACTTTAAGGCTAGAAGTCACCCTCTACGAAGTCCTCTCCTAGACAGAACAACAATAGCTCAATTAATACACAAGCAACATATATTACAGCAATACTAAACTATTTTAAAATCCCTTAAATCATTGAAATAATGTCTTTAAGTTGCTCACAATAGCCAAAGCTAGTAATTCAAAGTTCAATTACAAACTTGTATATTAAAATCATGAAAATATGGCTTGTAGCATGAAATTTCAGCAACTCTAAAGTGGGATTATAATCTAAAAAATTAGTTTAAAATTATAAAACAACTGCATAAACATTTTCATTCAAAATCATCATTATATAGTACGTTAGTATGTTGAGAACTTGAAAACCCATCATAAAACCATGACTTAAAGCTATTTAAAGTTAAGATTAAAATATGAAATTTTAGTTTAATAGTAGAATATAGTACTACAACAATCTAAACTTGAAATATATAATTATAATTTAATTAGTTTCATGAAAACTCAATTAAACCTTCGATAAAAATCAAAAACTGCACGAAACCATACTTAGAAGCTGAAATTGGCCACGAGAGGGTGGTGCTCACTACTATAGGTAGTGAGTTTTGATTAGAACATCATTTACACACGAAAAACACTACTTTTTTGTGAAAATCAGACGAGCTACAGTCAAAATGCGATTAAAACGTAATTAAGAAATTTTACGAACGGAAATTCAGAAATTAGCGAAAAATTAAGAACTTGCTGTTGAATTAAACATCATCATAGTCATAGCAAAATCATAACAAAATCATGCTCAAATTAAATAACTTTAGCAACACGTTATTAAACCCTAAAATCATGAAAATCAACATTTAAACCTTCAATTTTCACATAAACTAAATCTGAAATTTTATTTCATAAATCAAATGAAGTATACTCATAAATTTGCAATCTTTTATAACTCATAAACATAATCAAACTATAATAATTATTAAACATTGAAAAATTCATGTAAAGATTGAAACTTTAAAGAGGATTAAACAAGAAAGAGAGAAAGATAAAAGAGAAGGGAAAGGAAACCGCCTGGGCGGTTGTGGTGGCTGCGGGCAGGCGGCGGCAACAGGCTGGGCAACGGTGGTGGTGGTGCTCGGTGGCTGTGACTGAGGCAGCAGTCTTTTTTTTTTGTGTGTGTGTGTGAGTGTTTCGTGAATGAGGGCAGGGAAGGAGGGAAAGGCAGTAATAAGGGGAAGCAATATATAAGGGTTTTTGGGGGGTTTACTTAATTAAACAAAATAAGGAGAAATAAGGGTAAGTTTACTTAATTAAAAATAGGAATATGGTTTAAAGATTTTTCTTGGTTTTATTTTGTCAAATCTTTCCAAAAAGAAAATATTTATAAAAGTATAAAATTATTACAAAATATTTGTATATATATATAAAAAAAAAATATAATTATTAATAAAAAAAATATGGGGGATTACACGTCCTGGCTAGGCGCCACCGCCATGGTGGCGGCGTCTCGGCCAGGCGCAGGTGCCACGGTGGTGGCGTCCACGCAGGGCGCCGGTGCCACGGTGGTGGCGGCTCTTCCGGACGCCAGCCGTCTTTTCCGATGACATTCAAATTCTCACCTCGTTTTGCTGCGACGGCGACTGCTCTCCGTCGTCCCCTGGCTCTCCGGCCTCCCCCGGCGTCCCCGTACGGCTCCACATTTTTCGGTGAGTGAAATTTTCGTTTTCAGAGAAAATTGACAAAGGGGCAAAATCGACAAATCGTATCTATTTTATGGGCTTTATGTATCAATTTGTGGGCGATGTTTAACAACTCCCTTTCCCACCATCTCTCCTTGCAAACCATCTTCTACACTTGGATGATTCCCCACCATTTGACATGGTAAATGCATCGATCTTGGATTCAACATAAAACTTAATTTTTTAATTAATGACTGAAACTAATACTGATGAATGCCTTACACACAAGCAGATTCCAACTACAGGTAATGACCTAATTAATTAAACTAAAACTTTAAGGTAATGACCTAACTAAATACAGGTAATTACATAACCACAAACATATTACAAAAATCGCAAAACATGATTCTGGATCAAACAGTGCGGAAAAAAAAAAAACTCGAACTCTAAATCAAAGAGCAAACCCTCGTTATCCATTGTTCGTTAAAAAAACTGAAAGATCTGCATTTTACATCATCATAATCATAATACATGCTCCTAAGGCTTTTTTCATTCTCAAAACTATCAAATAACGTGATTTTTATATTAATCAAAATTATCAAACGAACCCTAAAACGAAATTTGTACCCGAATTTTGACGGGATTTTGGACGGAATTTTGGTCGTAATTTTGGTCTGCGTTGCGAATAGATTATACAAGATTATAGGAGTGGTTAATTACTATCTTGAATGAAGAACAATGATGAATTTTTTATTTTCTAAATTTTAATTATAATTTAATTTTCGAAAATGATTTTAATAAGATAAAAATAGATTTTAAAAAGCTATAATTACGTATTCTTTAAAAAAATACACGTATTTACAATTATACATACATGTATGGTATATTTAAGCTTTTAAAAATAAATCAAAAATGGACCAATCATAACATGACACCTCATCATGTTATGGCGTCATTTTTTTGAAAATGACCAAAGTGGTATATTAGAATAATGTAAAAAGTCAAACTGAGGCACATGCACTTAAAAAAAAAAAAAAGAGTACAATTGTACAACTTGGTGAACTTACCCTTGTATCTTCAATTTGGAGAACCTCGACCTCTTGCAATTCAATCCTTGAAGAATAGACATTACTAGTAACATAGATTAACAATGTTTATCACTTTATAGGTCAGATTGCTATAAAGGACACTATGGCATTAATAACAGTATAACACTATAAACAACTGAGACTGCAATAGAAAAAAGACAAAGCATGGCAAATAATGAATGCTTTCATCTTCATCCCTCCTCCCAAAATTCCTGATAGACTCCATATTACAATTCATTGATATATATTTCAAAAAATAAATTAGAGTAACTTTTGGGGACTTATATCTCACTGAATTTTGTGGGAAGGTTAATGACAAAAAAATAAACATGTATACTCAACTACTGCTCCATTGCTCATTAGTTTTCACCTGGTCTCACTGAAATTATTCTGTCAGTGCATAATATAAGTGTGGCAGAAGATATAATGTACTCAGTTGATGAATCCTATCAGAGCATAAGGCCAGGCAGTATGTGAGACTGTACACTTTGCTTCAACGTACTGTGAACCTGTGACTACTTACATCAATGTATCACGAATCAAACGTGCTGCCACTCTTGAACCCAGCCGACTAATGACTTCAGGCAACACTTTAGCAGACAAGCCTGGCAACAGTGGAAGGAGCTCCCTCATGGCCTGATCAGCATTTATGGCCTGTCAACATTAACAAAGGAAATAGTATGACACTTCTTGCTCAATTGAAGGTACTCACAAAGTCACAAGAGCAATCAGCTTCCATTTCTCAGCAACATAGGCATGTAAAAGCAAAGCCAAACTCATTAGCCATGAAAACAAATTTTCTTCAGTGATAGGAGTCGTAGGACTAAAATAGCATAGCAATTAGCTTCTAAACATTAATAAGGAAATATATCCTTGCAGATCACAAATCAAGTGGAACAAATGTCAGATAGAAACTAGATATCCAAATTAAGTCGCAAATTTAGTGATGTCAGACCCTAATTAGTCAGATGCCTTTATGTTCCACTTCTACTCACATAAACAAATGATTGGCTGATAGCCTGATAGAATAAGAAGTGTATTTAAGTATGTACAATTGGACATTGGTGTGATCTTTTCAACTAGCTCTGATCTTCTCTCTATACCTCTCTCTCGATAAGAGAAACTTAAAAGCCATATTCAAAAAGACCCAAAGAGCTCTCTTAATCCTAAAAAAAGATTCAAGAGCTAGTTACACTTGCTAAGCATATAACTACATAAAAATTAGAGGGATACCTTGCAAAAGGCTAGGATACCTTGCAAAAGCTGATCAATAATATCAAAGTATATTGTCTAGTGCTTCGATTTTAGTGGTTCTTAGGAAAGAGTCATTTTCATGATGGAGAGCCACCCAAGAGCTAGTAAAAAGCCCCATTGTTGGCATAGAAATATTTTTAATTCTCTCTCCTCTAAAAGTCCATTGGAGAATTAGTTTAAGAACCCCAATGTACATGCTCTTACTCTCTCCGTTTACTTCTTGTGTTTGCATTAAGCACATTTCCCAATGCAATATTGTAATATTTTACAATCAATCAAAGCCTAAATTCCATAAGTGGGGTCAGTTACATGAACCAAAAGTAATTATTCCTTGTAGTCATCGACAAAATCTTCCTCCTCCATCCCTTACGATCAAATACCTCATCCTCATGCAAATCCAAATACTTCATATCCTTCCTAACTCCTTCCAACCAAGTCATTTATGGTAACTAAACATCGGTGATCTCACATATTTATGCTAACTAAACATCGATGATCTCACATAATGTTTTGAATTATATATTATCTGATAATGTTTTAGATTCTATGAATAGGACAAACAAAAGAAAATGAGAGGGAGTATTTTACACTTCTAAAAAAGTAAAACCCCAGAATTTCTCAACTTCATCTCCTACCCCCACCAGCCGCGTACCATAGTCTAAACATAAAGTTTCGTCCAAGGTTGTCCCCACATTGGATTGGTGAGGGAAGTAGGATCAAATCGCTAAAATCGGATCGTAGAATCATAAGATCCTAAAAGGAGTAGTAAAAAGGTTGCTACATATCTAATTACACATTTTTTAAGCTATAAAAATGCTAAAATTTATAGTTTAAGTAGTTGTATAGTAATTTTCTAGGCTTAGAGAAAAGGCTGATTACTTTAGGCTCATTTTAATAAGTAAAAAGTATGATCGGACGATCCTAACCGATTCTACCCGGTGCAAACCGATCTCACACGATTCTGTCCGATCTTGTACAATTTAATAATAATCCAAGTAAAAAAAAGGATCATTTGATCCTATAGCGATTGTGTTAAAGGACTCATTCAACCAAAAACTTAAGCTGATGATTGAGGCTCAAGAATATGTTTTATACCCTATCACGCCCCTCACACGAGAGCCTGTTGGGCTTGAAGTGTGGATGCAACATGGGCCCTCCGCATACCCAGCGTTTAATATTCCACTTGAAAGTGGGGGTGGATAAGATTTGAACTCGTGACCTTTGAGTCACGCTGGCTCCGAGGGTCCAGGAATATGTTTTATACTCTATAAGATTGCTATGCGATTCTGCATCTAATCATTTGCCCAAATTGGATCGTAGGATCGCACTACGATTCGGATTGCGATTCTAACAACAATGGTTTAATCCTCCCCCCCCCCCCCCTTTATTCTTTCATTTTTCATGAGGCTCTCCTACCTTCACTAAATAGCAAAAACATTGATTATTGATAAATGTTTGGTGGCTTGAGGTGAGGTATTAGCTCCTATAACATATACTTCCTCTTTTTTAAAACACTTGCAACTAAGTGGGTTGACACATATTAAGAGGATATTTAATGTTCAAAGAACATCTAGACCACTCAATTAAAAAAAAATATTTGAAGAGCATTAGACCACTCAATTAAAAGAAAAAGAAAATGTTTGAAGAGCATCTAGACCAATCAATTAACAACTCTTCTACCCCTACCTTTCTCTCTACCATGAACACCAGGAGCCCAATCATACCAATTTTCCCATAACCAACAGTTGGGGCTAGTGCTCTTCATTGCTGGTGTGGGACGGTGGTGTTGCTATTGTTTGAAGTTTAGTGGCAGTTCATGTGGGATGAGGCTAGTGGTTCCATGGCGGTCTTTGTGTTATCGTGGGTGAGAACTCAAAAGTAGAGGTGTCAAAACCACACCCGACCCGATTCGAAATCGATCCGAAAAAATATCCGATTCAAATTTTGACTCACGTGGACACAATAATTTAGCATGACTTAAGTTTAAAAATACATCCGACTTGACTTCACCGAACCCGATCCGGATGGGAAATGGTGAACAATTATTAAATCTAGATGGTTGAATAAGGTCAACATCGCAAGTCTTCCTTTTATTTTTTTTTGGGGTTGAACCTTATAGAGCATGGTTGAAGTATTGTGACATCCATGTTTTAGGAAAGTGTTAGAATTTTGAAACAGAGGGAGTAAATGGGCACACAATTGACACTTTGCATATCAAAGACCAATTTCAACATTATAATTACAATAGTAACCATAACCAAACAAGTAGTTACAGAGGTAAATATATCAAACCATCAAGGGACTTCATCAAGAGAACACCACATCAAGGATTTCCTTAGCAGATAAAAATTTTCTTTTTTCCAATTATTCAACATAAATAGATAAAAGAAAATTTCTAATTAATAAGCATACGGTTAGGTAATAATAATTAGAGTGGAAGTTGAAAAGCATCCCATACCTCATTTGATTTTCTTGTCAATGAACTTCCAGCTATAAGAAACTCAACTACTCTTTGGACATTGTTTAGAATGATTTTGTCCTCCTCATTGATAGTGGGTAGAAGTGATACAGGTTTAATGGGCCCAAAGGCAGGAAATATACTGATTACAGGAGCAATACCAAGGGAAGATGTAATTTTTACCAGCTGCTCCCTTGTCACTGCATCGATGCCTTTTACAATCTGGATAACAGTCAAAGAAAAATAGGAAGCATATACAACAATTAGACATTTGAAATATCAGAGTAAGATGCAAGAATCCTGTAAATCACAATCCAGTTGAAAATCCATATTTGTGCCCACACTTGCTATGCCATACTCCAATAAAACATTTTCTTGATATTCAGAAGCGAAATTCATATTGCACTTGAGGCTACTATAAATAAGAAATTGACATGTCACGATTAAAAAACACGTAACTAAACAATTTACCACTCTTGATGGGGATGAGGACATGATAAATCATTGCCTTTAAGTTTAAAATTGATAGTCCCGAAGAGAATGGGAGAAGAATTGAATGCCTAAAATAATTTTACAGAAGAAACAAATCAATAGAAATGATGAATTCAGTTGGTTGCAATTGCATGATGCCATCAAGCAAATCCTTTCAAATCTTGTTTGACCCAAAGAATTTCTATAAAAAGATATGGTCCTTCTTGGTTCTAGGATCAGGTTTTTATCCATATTGCTTTCCTTGTATTTTAAGTGGTTTGGGAGAAGTGGGGAGGGGGTGAGCGATTGAGCAAATTAGGTGACACCGGCGTTGCTTGCATAGGTGTGTCAATCTCTTTCATAGTGAAATTAAATATTACTAGTATCCCTATTTATTAATTTCTTCATCCTATACTGATTGCCATATGATTTGGCATAATCATCTTGGAAATGAATACAACACAGATATCTAAGATTCTTATAGAAAAATCTTTAAAAAATTTACAGAAAGTCTTACTTGATATTCAAATTGGGCAACAAACGATAAATAAGGCAGGTAGTTTTTGTGATGAAGAGAGATTATCATATTGTGCAGGCAATAATTAATTTGGGTTTCATCCATGGCTTACAGCCTACACAACAGTGAAAAGGAGGCATAAAAGAAGTACTCCCCCTACAAGATTCAGTCCTATTGCAACAAATTTTATAAAGTGACTACTTGCTGCCCAAGGAAGCACTCCCTCTGTCCCTATTTAGTTGAGACACTTTACTTATAAAACCATCCGTAATTAGTTTACACTTTTTTTTTCTTTCCATAAATGACATGGAGCCAAATATTTTTTTTAAAAAAAAAAATATTATTCCTTTCACCTTTTTACACACTACCGATCTCTGTCCCTTATTGATGTGTCCGTTTCTAATATTTCACGGGAATCAAGGAATTGAGAGTTTCTTGAATTGACAATAATGAGAAGTACAGAAAATAGAATCGGTGCATGTGTGTGGGTGTACTTTATTGCTTCAATTAAAAAAAAAAAATCAAACTTTTTAATGGCATGCCATTGTCAACTTTATTGATTAGGTGTACTTTATTGCATTTTTCAACAAAAAGAAAAAAGAAGGGAGAGATTGGGGAATAATAGTGAGAAATGAGGGTTTTATGGTCCAAAAGTAAAATCTATAAATGGAATGAAATAGAAACAGACACATCATTTTAGGACTCCTTTTAAGGAAACAAGCACATCTTTAAGGGACGGAGGTAGTGCTTATAAAATAATACCCCACTACTTAATAACTATAATATAAAATTAATAAATAATAATAAATAAATAAAAAAAACCAAAACAACTATTACACAATAAAATAAGAAATCAATTAAATTGGCCTAAACTGTGTTCCGGTCAAAGTTTGTCAACTAAATAGGGATACATGGAGTATTACAAATAAATTGCAGCAACTAGAATTTCATGCTTGCCAAGGCACAATTTTGATCATAAATATCTTTAATTGTCTATTAATTTAGATGATTAAAAGTTGATAATTTGATATCACAACTCAACCTATTGCAATCTTTTTCTGGAACGGATGATTTTTGTCCCTAATTCCTATGGCCAATCCACCAACTCCCAAAAGATAAAAAGAAGGGGTATTGATGACTAGGGTAGAGCAATGAATGTCTATCCACTAAGTTTATACAAGAATGTGCTTTTACATTGCATTTCCAGCATAAAATTAAGTTTTACCACATTATTAAAACCTTTTATTACACATGTACATGCCTTATTGGATTGAGGAACAACACCTATAAAGCATTTAAATCAACAAAGCTATCCAATAATTAATAGTAAATTAATAGATAAGATATACCTCATCCAGAAGAAATTCCCGGAAAAAGTTTCCTTTGTCAGATAACAAAAATGACAAAGCTGCTCTTGTCTGAATCTGCTGATTCGTTGATGAATTTATTGAGAAACCAGCAAAATCATTATTCTGTTCACTCTGGAGAATCCCAAGTTCTGCCATTCTACCATTCAAATCCTCTCCTCCTCCACTTTTAGCTGCCACAATGAAATTTTCAAAAGCTTGCATCACATCGATAAATCTCTCAGCATCAAAAACTCCAGATCTTCCATATATGGTATATCGAAGAGCTTTCCTTAAACGTGAGGAATCATCAGTTAAGAGCCTCTGGAAATATATAAAAAGAATGAATAACAAACTACTAGCACTGCAAAGGTGAGAAAGAAATGAAAACAACCCAAAAGTGTAATTCACAAAATCAATTTGTTCAGTAACAGTTTTACCAGCCTAGATAGTAGGGAGGTAGGATAAGGGTGCAGATCTACTTGATCATCATCAAATTAAATTGTACCCCAAAGGTGAAATTTACTCCCCCCGTCACTTTAAATTTCCTCGTACACTATTTTCGGGTGTCCCTTTGATTTTTCCCCATACCTCTTTGGTATGATTTTCCCACTTGCCCTCTCTCCTCATGTGCACAACTTAGCCAACCCACGTGCACAACCTTGCCCAAGCTATAAAGTGAAAGTTGGGTAAGGGGCAATCTTTGGGGGACAGGGAGTCAGGACAACCCCACACAAGTCAACCTGGCCTAGACTAATGAGCCAGACACTAAGAGAATGAAGGGGGACGGTAAGGGATCCCCATCCTTAAAGTGCCCATAATGGCCATTGAACCCCCAACCTCAAGGTTGGAAGTTCCAATTACACTTTCAACCTTACCACCCCAAAGCTGCCAACATGAACCCCTTGCCACACAACAACCCACAACTGAATGCTAAAGCCCACTTGGGGACTAAGAATATATGAATCAAGAGACATAATTCCCAGTGACTTCCCAATGGCTAGAATGTTAATAACTTGCGTGAATCTAAGAAACTCCAATCAATTGGCTAAGATAATTAACAGTGCAGCTATAGTAGATTTTTAAATTTTAACATCTATGACTATAATTTGAAATCCTCTCATAAAATTTGAGAAACAAATATCATGCATCTCGACAACAAGTGAGGAAGTAATTAAATTGGAATACAAGCTGTACAACACCAGAAAAAAAGGGTGGCGGGTAATTGTATCATGCGTCTACATGACTTCATGTACTGCAAATTCACAATATCAATCTCGTGAGATAGTATGTTTAGCCGCATGGCCCGCATATATAGAATTCAATTGGGAGTCCAAATATTGTTCTAAAAAAGTAGGGGCAAGTCAGGAACAACATTAAAGGATAAAAATTAACATGGTAACAAATCTAATTATTCTGCAGTCAGCCAGCTGTGGATTGTATTGCAGCCATTTCATGAACCATAGAGTTAAAGTAGCTAATATAACTGGTAGAATAACCTTAAAAATAAAGTTATGCAAGCTACTTGCAGAAGATCAATAAAAAAGAAGTCATTTTCATTTTCACTGAAAAATTCCCCAGCATAAAGCAGGTACCTGCGCAATATATGGATAGGCTTCATCCACAATAGCAAATTCAGGATTTCCGACCAAAGCTATGCCTTCTAACACCCCTATTGCTCGAATTATTAAAGCAAAATAAGGGGGTATACGGAATGGATAATCAAAAGTTATCTGTGCTAGATCTGATGCAAGCTCTTGAAAGTTGATGTTCTTTGCTCCCCCTCCTTCAAGTGCTTGGTCAAAAACTTTTGTGAGAACAGGTAAAATGGGGTCCAAATTAACCCCCTCCGGTATAAAATCCAATTTGACAAAATCTTTGACTATAGCTTCATAATCTCTATGAATTAGGTGAGCAATTGCTTCAATCATCCCATACTTTTGATCATCAGTTAATTTTGTAACCAAGCCTGTTGGAGCAGAATTTTACCTCAAAAGATTCAGTACTCCAGAATAAAAGAAAGCATAATGTTCTTAAACAGTAAATAGCCTATTCATAAAATGGTAAAGCAAAAGCTGTAACATTGGTGCGTGTCTGTTATCCACCTTATTGTAAATGGGAAGATTATGTGACTGCACTTTATCTAGATTAATATTCTTAATCCAACGTATTCTATTTTGATCCTTGGGGAAGTCAAGGATCAGGAAAAATTCAAGGTCTTTGCACAAGAATATGAAGAGACTCAAGCCTACAAAGAAGAACATAACTAAGATTGCAGATCCAGTATTATTTTCCTTTCATGGTCCTCTGGATAATGAGTTTCTCATAGGCACTCAGTTGGTTCTTCTGAGATATAGTGAAACTAAAGCAATATTAATTAATTCAATCCTGTGCACAATGCAACTATTCTTTTATTTGAAAAACTTGGTCAATTTTAATAAAATGGGTGCCGTTCTCCTTTATTTTTTTGGGTCAAAAATACATCGGCTTCTGATATAATAAGAACATGAGCCAAGCCTTTTGGGGAACAACTTATATTTTAATCTCAAGCGATTTTGCTGTAATCCTAGACAAGGGTAGGATACATTACAATCTGGTGTTTCACATGGTATGATATAGGACAAGAATCTTAAAGGTCAGTGCTTATAGGTGTCAAGGGATCAAATTTCTTTTCTGAAGCTGCAGTAGGACTAGTAAAGCACTGCATTCTCGATATTTGGGGGTGGGGGAATGAATTTTAATTTGTAATATTAAAAATTCAAATTGTTTGAGAATTCCAGGGAGTGTGTGTGTGTGTAGGGGGGGGGGGGGGAGGGTCTGAAGGGCGATGAACTGTAATTTTTCTTTTTTTTTGAGGGTCTGAAGGGCGATGAACAGTAATTAATAACTAATATATTCAAATTCCTCTGGTATTGTGGTTGCTGTTACTTGCTCATCTATTTATTTATTTATTTATTCATTTTTCTAAACAAAAAATTTCCCCTTATAAAATTATGGCCATACAAATGCATATGAGAATGTAACATACAACCTTAAATGTCACATGCCACATAAATTAAAATATTACCAAAATCAAGTATCGCCAACTTCCCATCAGGAGTTCGGATTAGATTTCCTGGGTGCGGATCAGCATGGAAAAAACCAGTATCAAGCAACTGCATACAATTTTACCAAAAAGATCATTCTCTGTAAATATCTGGGAATGGGAAGAGAGAGGAAGAGAGGTTAAGCTTTTAGCTACATCTAATACGATCGTTAAAGACTACATGAGGCTCAACAAATTTTTTTGTAGCATAGGTGAAAAGCGCTAGTTTCATAATGATAGCAATTGAATCAAACCTCAGATTGTCCAACTTGAAAATCCGGGTATGGATCTCTCATTAGTTATTCATACAATTTTCCAGGATGCTTATTATGCTCTGACTCATATATGCGACCACAAAAGTGCACTACTCAATTATGGGCTCAGAAGTCTGACATGGAAGAATTAGTAACTTGAAAATTAAGGGCACAGTAAATAAGTAGTCCTTCAGTCAGATGAAGAAACATAAACTATCTAAGGAATAGTGACAATCCAAGTATCCAAAGCAATGCAGTCATACCATACTGTGGGAAGTACAACTTCCTAGAAAGTTGCATATATGTCAAACAAACAACTCTCCGCTTTTTAATTTCACAGGAAGTTGTAATACTAGTTTTCCAGCACTTCTCAATGTCAACCAAAGGAGCAGATGACCCCCAGGTATCCAAATAAGAATACACTCTATATGTATTTTTTTTTATTTGTTGCGACTCCTCTTGTCCCTATTTAGTTGACACAATTTATTTCTATTAATGGCATGAACCCACTCACATTTTATTATTTCTCTCACCTCAATTTTTACCTATTATCCATTAACTATAATAAAATAATACCTTACTACTCACTAAATATAATAAAATGTATTTCACTACCAACCATCACACAATAAAATAAAAAGTCAATTAAATTTACCTACAACTTTGTGTCTATCATGTGTGTTGACCTAATAGGGACAGAGTGGATATACTTTTAATTTTTAAATATCCGCCAACTAATTTTTTTTAGCAAAATATTATTTCATTTATCAGCTATACATGGCCCTTAAACAAAATTTATCAAACTATCAGACACAGTAACCAATTATCCAAAGCATTTCCAGAGATAAAAGGGGAACATATCTAAGAACATAGGATATAAACTGATATACCATGTTTATCAGCTAATATATGTGCAGAATAAATGATTCAAAAATTACTTTATCATTTAATAGATGAATGATGATCCATTATGCATTTTATACCTGCTTCAGATAGCATATAACCCCAACATTAACCAGCTCACCAACATCACTCTCTGTGCTTTGCGATAGTTTTTCACCATCAATCCATTGAGTAGTAAGAACCTTTCTTGAAGTATACTTAGTGTAGGTTTTTGGTACAACCACCTGAAAGTGCCAGTATCAGCTAGGCAAAATAAAAAAAAAAATACGCAAAATAGAGAAAAAATCAAAAATAAAGATGAAATGTACAACTGGACAGTAAGAGATGCTCATGGAAGATGTAGGCACACAAACATATGCTCTAAGTAAACCCAAGAAGGATGACATTTGACTTGCTGAAGAGTGGGAAATGATTACATAGGCAATTTGGTGGTTAGCTTGGAAAAAAAAAAAAACCATAATGGAATACTGAGGGCATAACCCTCGTGGGTCAAGGTTTCAAGTTCCCTTTTGTTTAGCTGGAGTTAAGTATTAGATTCTGGGTGATACAATTCTTAATTTCTTAGATAGTATGCTTCATGATAGCTTGAAAGCATGAGTTTTTTTTGGTTCACAGCCCCTCTTTTGTACATGGGTGACACCACCTTCAAGGCTTTATAATACATCTATAGATTACTTATTATATAATATTAAAAAAGCAGGAGAGAGTAATAACCTGTGGAAGGTCCTTTCGCATCATTTCTGCAAATATTGTACCATTTTCACCCTCATTTACATAATCAAGCTCTTCAAAGAAACGTGCTGCCCATTCATCGACCAAGCCAACCACATCAACCGAGATCTGCGGACATGTATGAAAAGGAAGAGGTTGACGCCAGATGAAAAATTTAATGAACTTAATAAAGGTCCTCGTCACAGACCAGGAAAGCAGGTCACATTGAGCATTGTCAAACATAATTTCTCAGTAAAGAGGCATTAAACACAATATGTAATGCAGTTTATGGAGCATGGACATTACATAAGTATTGACTTCTTTATTGATTTTCTACAAAAAAAATAAATAAATAAAAAAAAAAAGACTGCACATCTAGTCTTTATTTATAACTTGCATCCAGGAGCAAGGTGTGTCAATGCACCTCTCCCTACCTAGGTGCAATGCATTGTGAGAGGTAAAGACCCTGAGGAGGGAGATCTGAAGTTTACAGAATACCAAAAAATTATCAAATTAACTTGCATCTGGTCTTCAATAGACAAATCCGTACACATGCTCTCTATAACTACAACAACATCAAAGCCTTAGTCCCAACACCCAAAGTGATTTGGGGTCGGCTAACAGAATCGTCATTAGGAACTGTCCGAAAAGGAACAGGGGCATAGCAAGATTATAAAAAAAAATAAAAATAAAAATAAAAATAAAAAGTGCGTAAAGCAAGGAGTATACAAATTAATTTAAGAGAGTTTTAAAAGAGAGATAAGGAGATAAAAAGGAGAGGGAAAACATGTGAGTCAAAAAAAAAAACCATAAAGGATTGAGAAAATTTTAGTAAAGTTTGCAAAACATGAGTTGGGTAAAAGTAAACACATGCTCACTATTAATTGCATGAATTTACTTGATTTTATTGTCAATATTAATTATTAGAAGCCCAATTTGCGTTTGGTAAGCAATAGGCAAATTGATTCTGGTGGTTCGACACCATATCAACAGTTGGTCGTTGCCGATCAAGGAATTCCAGGTTTGTGATTCGAAAATATGACATTGAAGCAAATACGGGAAGAAGAGCTTGAAGTGTGCGCACAGACTGCATGAAGAGGCCCTATAAAAAGAGAATTGTCCTGAGAAAGTACATCCTATATCCAGAGGCTGTGTATGATTTGTGAACTCAGAACAAAATGAAGAGATGACAATAAGGAGATTTATAATAAAAGGGTTATTACTCACTCTTAAACATAAAGTTGTAATGGTAACCTAATACGAGTATATTCTTACAATAGGGCTCCAACTACAAAGAACAGAAATCCTAGTAAAGGACTCCTGGTTCCAGTGATAGTGCGCAAACTTTCCTACTCCTAGCTACATGACTTTCACCTTTTTTAATTGTATCTTAGCAAGAGATGACATTTTCATTTGGACACTTCAGACTACCACAAAAAAAAAAAAAAAAAAATATAAAAAAAAATAAATAATAAATAAATAAATAAATAAAAGCAAATTTCTGAAAGCAGCTTTGCTCAACCCTTGGACCTAGAACTGCACAAATTATACAAAACCTATCCAAGGCCCAAAAACAAAAAACATAATTAGTATGTTAGTTCGAGGCCATGGTTCATGAGACAATCAACAGCTTGGAAAAGGGCAGTTTAGCCCAAAATATTATTTTGGAAAATTTGTCAAGAAGGAGACCTTTTATATTGGTCATTTTGTGAGAAAGGACCTTTTATAAAATAAAAAAAATAACAATACAAAAAAAAAAGTGGCTTTTGGGACCTTAAACAAAATTTTTTAGTTAACCAGGACCTTTACTCAGATATCAGCCATTGACCGCCACACTCCGGCGTAGATTATCACGTGCAAAGCACATGCCCTCATCAAAAACCTCGATTTTCTTCCTCTCTTCATCCTATCACCATTTAACCACCTTTTATCTTTTAATAGGAAAATTTGTCAAAAGGGACTTCATCTTACTCCCCACACCCTTTTAACTTGGTATCAAATCTTGGGTTGAGTTTTGATTTGGGCTAGTATAATGGACAACTCACATGTGAGAGGAAATGTTGAGCCCATGAACAAACCCACATGTGAGCGGAAGTGTTGTCCCACATTAAACACATGTAAAAAGTAAGGGTGACTAATTGGATGTGTATCCCACACTGAAGAAGAGAGAAAGTTGTGTCCAAAGGCCAAGGGGCTAATCCTCTCGTTGCCATATGGTTTTGGGATGGAACCCCCTTAGACTTATGAAGTGGACGTTCTCTCTCTTAGCTAACGGGTGCGGCCAAGCCCGTATATAACATTGTATCAGAGCAAGGCCCACGATTAGGACCTTTAATGGCTGTAATGTACTTTGGGCCAAATTGAATGGGTCCATGTGAGGGGGAGTGTGAAAATGCATTATGACACCATTGAAACATCACATGTGACCATATTATAAAAGAGACCTTACATATGAGGGGGAGTGTTGAGGCATAACCTTCCCAAACAATACATGTAAGTGTCCCACATTGATAAAAGATGAGAGTTTAACACTTAAGGCTAAGGGGTTACTCCTATTGCCATATGGTTTTGGGATGGAAACTCCTTGAACTTGTGAAGTAGACTCTCTCTCTCGGTGACGGGTGCGGACCAGGCAGTAATTAACAATATATGACCAGAATTTTGGAAACATTACCTGAGGGAATTTGCGAAGAACCAATCCCAAGTTACGAATGATGAACAGATCAACTGTTACAGTCTCCAGAACAAAAGGTCTCTGCACTTTGACAGCAACCAAATCCCCATTTTCTTTTAATCGACCTTTATAAACCTGTCCCAGAGATGCTGAAACAGAATGTGCAAGCACATAATAAGTTACCTTAACAGTGTAGTATATGGCACCTATTTTTTTGTGTCTCAAAAATAAACAAAAGCCACTTTTTTTTTTTCCAATAACCACTAAATTACTGTGCATACCAGCAGCAATTGGAGAGGATGAAAGCTCATCATAAATTTCAGGCCAAGGACTTCCAAGCTCCTCCTCTATTAGAGCCATTGCAACATCATCCGGGAACGATGGAACCTTATATATTGCCAAAGAGGAATTAAACTCATCATCAAACATATAAAAGGAAAAGGTAAGACCTGACAAGACAGGCATATCCATTGGTGATGCAGACAGTTAGAAATGTTTTTTAGATAAACCTTGGTAATATGTAGATGAAGCCCATGTGGGCTGTATAATACCTCAAAGCTGATTATACATCAATTATCTGATAAAAAATGATTTGTCTCCTCTTACTGCTATAATTACCAGGATTGTTGTTAGAATTGTTGTACAATGATATCTATTAAAAGCACTTTTACATATCATTGCCTACCTAGCCATTAGGAAGGATGGTTTTATATTTAACTAACCATCAATTTTATTTTATTTTTCATAGAAGGTGGCCATACTCACTTAGAGTAAGTGTTGAGATATATCTATAGAAAATACCCTAATCAAAAGCCACTAAAGTGCCCTTAACCCAAATCTCGATATAGCCCTTTCTTTTTCAAAGCCAGGCCCTTAAACTCATTATCATGCTACAAGTCGCACATTCATGTAGTTTGGTTGCCTCAATTTTTGGGATTTAAACAAAACAAAAAAAGAATTCATTAAAAAACCAGTGTGTGTGTGTGTATATATATATATATATATATATATATATATATATATATATATATATATATATATATATATATATATATAGTTCCGGCTACTAAAGAAAATACCATGTTTGTATGGTGGAAAATGGAGGGGAAAACAGTGAAAATCATTTTTCACTTATTTGAATATGAAACGAGGAAAGAAAAGGTAGGGCATTGGAGGGATCCATTTTCCTTTCCCTTTTAATAAACTAAACCCCTCTACTATTGGAAGGAATAGGAAGATAGATGAAAATTTACTCATCACGTAATATGAATGCTCTTTTAGACAAGCAGGATGAGAAAAATAATGTAAATGCTAACCTTAGCTCGAGAATGAAAGATCGCGACATATAGAAGGTAAGAAACTACAATGATCCAAGTAATTTAAGCTTAGGCTAATTTGCTCAAGGAGACAGACAATTGCCAACATTTCCAGCCATAGCAATTAGCAAAACATACTAAAACAAACCTAACATTACCTTGTCACATAGTTTTTGGAGTTCAGTCATTGCAGATGGTGACAGTATATCTGGTCTAATGCTAAGAGCTTGCCCCAGTTTGATGTATGCAGGTCCCAAAGAGGTCACAATCTCCCTTAATTCAATTGCTCGTGCAACTTCATTCTGATAAAGTGGGGGAAGTAAAGTTGGTAAACATTAGAGTCATTGAAATCAAACCAGTAGTAAAAATTGAAAATTAAGCATGAAAAATCATGATGGAGAATTTTTTTAGGAATAAAGAACTGTTTAATCTTCAGCAGAGAAGAAGCAGTTCAATCCTACTCCAAAGCATTGATCCACAGCTTCTAGTAACACATTTTAAAAAGCGTATGTCACCCAAAATAAGATAGGAAAAAAAGTACATAGACAAATGACACCACATGTTTAGCACTAAATGTTTAGGCTGTAGGTTTTGAATTCAATGGTTTCTGGCATATAAACAAAACATGTAAAGATTGTGATCATAAGAATGAAAGAATTGAAAAGCAGCATGATTTACACAGAAATTTAATCATAACAAGCAGCAGAAAACATATCATCACTCCCCATTTATGCAAGATAGCTTAAGTGCAAAATATATATTGCCTCCTTGCATGGATGGGTAACACCATATTGTTATCCTTAATATATTTATTATCATTATTCTATAAAATTCGAGAATGAAAAGATCATAATACCTCCTTGACTTTCTTATTGATCACATCCCATCCAAGACGAGAAAGAAAACCTCCTGCAACAGAAAGCAATTGCACAACACGTGTTGCAACAGCACGTGGCCGCTTGCCCCAATATGAGGATATGCTTGCCGGATCATATACCAATGGAAGGAACTCGCTGCTTTCATCAACCTAGACAATAGCACGCATGTACTGATTGGCAATTCTCTCTTCCAATAACAATTAAATATACCCTCACTAACTAAGCTTTATATTATTAAAAATTGACACCCTATATATTTTCCTAAATGTTTGTGCAATGCCTAGTATTGTGATTAATCCGAAACGGAAGGTGTACTTGATATTGATTTCATAATTGCTGAGAGGGACTAATATCCCTACTATAAGCATTGGTTGTTTGTATAAGTAAATAGAGATGAAGTAAAAGCATTAGTTGGGTTTGTATAAAAAATAGAGATGGAAGTATGGGGCAATTGTTAAGAAACTAGTAAGTGAAGTTAATTGTATAAGTAAATAGAGATGGAAGTATGGGGCAATTGTTAAGAAATTAGTAAGTGAAGTTAAGAATGTGATCGGAAAAGGGCTAAAATGGATGAAGAAAGTAAAGGAAGAATGGAAACCTCAACCAAGCGGAGTTGGACATCATCGGCAGCAAATTGGGAGTCGGAGAGATTCTGTCCCCTGAGACCGCGCATAAGAATAGCCAAATCTTCATTCTCTTCCATGCGAGCTCTGACACGCTTGATATCGGCAGACATCTCTCCGACACTGACACTCCTACTTCTGCGGGCGAAAGAGGCGTAATCATCGGAACTGGAACCAACGTCTTTCCGAGGGCCGGGAGGAGGAGCAGTAGCAGTGGCGCGAATTGTGAAATTGCGGCGGTTGAAGGTGGTATTCCTGAATTCAGTAAAATATGCAACAGCTGGTGAAGCCAACGCCATTGCAGCAGTAGAACAAGTAGTACTCTAGTTTGTAATACTGACTCCTCTCCTAAAATAAAGAGTACTCCCAACCAAACTGAAATTAAAGCCTTAAACGTTCCACCAAGGCAACCCAGCTTTGCGGACACAAATGCTTACACATTTGAGATGGTCCTTATTTTTATTAATAACCGGCCACGTGTCTTATTTGTAATCAATAACCGGATGGATGGTTATATCAGATTTTCTCTCTCTAACAACAGAACCCAACCTCACATCCTTCTGCCGGCTTTCCGATTTCCTAGCCGAGGTTAGTTAGTTATTTTAATAACCAATTTGATTTCATTTATCGGATTATCTATAATTATTTATTGACTTTTTGTGCTATTATCAGTTGTAATTTGGAACAATCAATCCAGTACGAATTCATGATGGTGGAAGTGTTTTAAAAATAATAATATCTAGGTTTTCCATTGATGACAATCACAGGTATAATTGTCCCATCCATGGCATCGGGGATGTTGTCCTTGTCTCATCATCCCTTGAGTTCCAGTTATCAAAATGGAGTATCACTCGTCAGTATTCCTAGCCTCAACAACCCTCACAGCCACAGACGGAGGCGTAAGTCTAGACCATTAACGCTTTCGGCCTTGGTGGAGGCAGATGCCCGTACTTTTCCTTCTCAAGGGGGCCTAACATTACCAGAACCAATGATGCAGCACTATCACAATCACAAGATGCCTTCCTCACTTCTGACAGGAGGAAGAAGAATCTTGCTGATGATATGCAAGCTGAGGCAAGGGCCATGTCCAGAGCAGCCGCTGCTTCTGTCTACACTCCTCAGATGATTGCTTCTAAATATGGCTCACGCCCTATCAAGGTTGCTCCCATTATATCTCTTTATTTCTTGCTCATCTTTTTCCGATTATTTCCCTCACTCATCCCTCCCCATCTTTATTTTTGTAGGTCTTCCGTAGGACCTCTGATATTTTGTTCGGTTTGGGTTCCTTTGCTTTCAAGCTCTTGCTTGATAAATGGAATGGTCAGCTCAATCAAAACAAATCCTTAAGAGCTGTTCAGCTCCGCAAGATTTTTACCGCTCTCGGCCCTACTTTCGTCAAAATTGGCCAGGGTTTATCCACAAGGCCTGACTTGTGCCCACCTGAGTACCTTGAGGAACTCTCTCAGCTACAGGTTCGCTCTCCATTTTTTGCTGTCCAATGTCTTCATGCTCTTTCTTATAACTACTTGCTAATTACTTACTCCGCTTAACTTCAAAGGGTTATATTACTATTTACTAGGAGGATAATTATAGAAATTGCCTTACATCAGGGGTAACCAAATAACAAGTGCCTACTCAAATGTATTCTGAATTTATATTAGCTCTGCTTTTTCTCTTGTCTAGGTCTCATGTGAAGTAGGGAATTCTTATGATTGTGTGTGATTGATTAGGATGCTTTGCCTACGTTCCCAAATGCGGAGGCATTCTCATGCATTGAGAAGGAGCTGGAGTTTCCACTTGAGGACATATACTCGTCTATATCTCCGTATCCGATTGCAGCTGCTAGTTTGGGTCAGGTTTATAAAGCTCAATTGAAGTATTCTGGTCAGACGGTTGCTGTCAAGGTACAGAGGCCTGGGATTGAAGAGGCCATAGGGCTTGACTTCTACCTGATAAGAGGACTGGCCCTTTTTATAAATAAATATGTTGACTTTGTCACAAGTGATGTTGTTGCCCTAGTTGATGAATTTGCCCGAAGAGTTTATCAAGAGCTTAACTATGTACAGGCAAGGACTCCCTCTTCAATATTTATTTTGTCATTTTATTAACAGGATACTCTGAAAGGTAACAACAATCACCCGCCCTTGACCTGGATTAGCCAAGTCAAAGAGAGCAGCTTCCTTGCGGATGTCAGAGAGGCCTTTGCATTATCTGATGCCCAAGTGTTTATAGCAATAATTGCCAATTCTGTGGTAAATTTGGAAGCTATAATTTTCCCTTCAGTAAAGCTGCTCTGATGAAACTGGTCGTTTTGAAAGTTTTGGAACTTGAAATTCACCCCATATTTTCTTTTTATGATATTTTCTTTGGGTTTGGATGTTAATTTTGACAGGTATTTGCAGGAGGGTAAGAATGCGAGAAGATTTAAGAAATTATACGCTGACAAGGAAGATGTTTTTGTTCCTGATATCTTCTGGGATTACACCAGTGCCAAAGTTTTAACAATGGAGTGGGTTGATGGTGTCAAGTTAAATGAACAAATCACAATTGAGAGACAAGGGCTGAAGGTGTTGGATCTTGTTACCATTGGTATCCAGTGTAGCCTTAGACAATTACTTGAGTACGGATACTTTCATGCAGATCCACATCCTGGCAATCTTCTGGCAACTCCTGAGGGAAAGCTGGCATTCATTGACTTTGGAATGATGAGTGAAACCCCAGAACAAGCAAGGTTTGCAATTATTGGTCATGTTGTCCACATGGTTAATCGTGACTATGAAGCCATGGCTCAAGATTATTATGCTCTGGATTTTTTATCCCCTGATGTGGATGTTTCTCCAATTGTGCCTGTACTTCGAGATTTCTTTGATGATGCACTCAGTTCAACTGTTAGTGAACTGAACTTCAAAACGCTTGTAGATGGTCTAGGAGCCGTCTTTTATCAATATCCATTCAATGGTAACTTCTTATCTGATACAGTTTTTCCATAGACATGGCATCTTATTCCACTGTGATACATCCATAAGGGAAGAGAGTCTATGCAGGTCCTTAACCTGATAATTTGTGGGTTTAATATTTGCTTCAGATTGAAGCTGTTCTACATCTGATGTTATTCTTAATTAATGTGGCAGTTCCAGCATATTATGCATTGATACTGAGGTCGCTTACTGTGCTGGAAGGTTTAGCACTTTATGCAGATCCAAATTTTAAGGTTCTGGCTGCATCTTATCCATATTTTGCTAAGAGACTTCTTACTGATCCTAACCCATATCTGCGAGATGCTCTTATTGAGTTGCTGTTTAAGGATGGGAAATTCAGGTTACTCTGTCTTAATTATTGCTGAAACTGATTGCAGAAAACCCAAAGATGAAAGTTCTTATGTTATGGTGGTTGACTGCAGGTGGAATAGACTTGAAAATTTACTTGTTCAGGGGCGTAAAGACAGGGATTTTTCTGCAAAAGACGCTTTACAACCTGTTCTGAAGCTATTGTTGGGGCCAGATGGTGAAGAACTAAGGATTCTAGTTATAAAGGAAGCTGTGCGAGTTACTGAAGCAGTAATTCTGGGTTCTTTGATGGATACATACAGTTCTCTACCTGAATTCATGAGGACTCTAGTAACAAATGGTAGTTCGACAGGACCTTTCTTATTACTAAAGGAAGCTGAACAGCAAAGTATGTTGGAACTTCGAGGACAAGTGCTAAAGGTTTGGGGGCTTCTACAGTCTTCAAATAACTTTGAACCTTCCCTCCTACAACCTATATTACAGGTCTAAATAATTACGTTAACAACAGAAACTTTTAATTTCACGTATTTACATTTTTTATGCATGTGATTTGCCTTGGGGAAATGTTGATTTGTAAAAATAGAAGGCTATTACTTTTCTGGGTGGATCATATTAAGCTGTCTGAATCTGGGTGGATCATATTAAGCTGTCTGGACTGCTTGATTAATAAGTGTATATGATCCATGCATAAGCACTTTATTCATTTAACTCTGTGAACGAATACCAAAATTCATCAAAGGCTGGTATTCTTGTCTTGTTGACTTGTTGTCAATGTCTGTAGTTACTGTGCAGTTATTGTTGAATTTGATGATGTTCCATTGATAACTTGTAAAATTCATTTTTGCAGGTACTTCAACAAGGCGAAGCACGTGATCTTGGAGGCCGTGTTCTTGGTGGCATTGCTCAGCGTCTGGCAGCACGTTTTCTGCAGCAAGTCTTACAGGCCCCAACCTCAACTACAAGCCTTCAAGTATAGAAGAAAGCAACATATAACTGCAGGTAAAATGCTAGAACTTAAATTTTTCTTTTTTTGGAGCACTATAATCAATCTGATAAGTTCATAGACAATGTTTAAATTTGACAGAGAATAATTCAGTTCATACTAGATGACCTCACCTTTCAAAGTTTCAATCAAGGGCTTCAGATCTGAGTGAAATAGATAGGCTAGTCATTTTATGGATTTTTTAATGGACTCATTGAGACTCGATCAATTTGATAGAGTTATTAGTTTATTCTCAAGTTTCTTCATTTTTTACTACTCCCTCCATCCCATTTTACTTGCAATACTTTCTACATTTTTTCTACTTTACTTGCAAACTTCTATATCTATTTTAACATTTGAACTTAAACCATACCAATGCCCTTTAATGACCCAAAACCTATGCTTCTCAAATCCGGATACTCAAATTCGCACTGGTACACCATACATGTTCAAGTGCTCAACTTGGCTACAACAACAACAAAGCCTTAGTCCCAAAATGAGTTGCGGTCGGCTAACATGAATCATCATAAGGAATCGTACGATATAAAGAAAAGGACATAACAAAATCATCATTTAAAAAGTTTGAAAAAAGGTGAGTTAAGTGAGTAAACGAAAGAGCATTTAAGAAAAATTAAGGGAGTTTTAAAAGAGAACCAAGAATGAAATTCAAGAAAGTTTTAAAAAAGTGGTTAAAAAATTGAAGTAGAAAACATATAGGTTTGAGAAAACTTTAGCAAAGGAAATCAATACTGTTCATAAAACATTGGTGGGCGAAAAATAAAATTAAACCCAATAATAAATTTAGATAGTATATATAATCACGACACGTCGTTGACGTGAATTTTCTCCCTCCACACCGCCTTATCCAACATCGTATTCTCCTCAATCCCCAAAGCACTCATGTCACTCTCAATCACCCTCTTCCTAGTTTTCTTATGTCTTCCCCTACCTCTCGCTATCCCAACATTTTACAATTTTTCAAGCCTCCTTATCGGAGTGTCACTTGGTCTCCTTCTTACATGTACAAACTTTCTTAAGCGATTCTTCCTTATCTTGTACTCAATCAATGTAACCCCTACTTTCTTCCTTGTTATCTTAATCCTCAATCAATCCTTTTTGTATGACCACACATCCATCGCAACATACACATCTCCGCCACATTAATCTTATACACATGGTAGTGCTTTACGGTCCGACATTTTGTACCATATAACAAAGCAAGCCTTATTGTC